TCGGTGCCAAAAGATATTTGTGTTCTAAATATTGATTTCTTTGAATTATAAGGTCTTTTGGGAGACTTCTATCAGGATTATGTTATTTCTGGATTTTACGATCAATTATAAACTAGAATAAGCTAAAATTAGTATAAATGATTTACTATAACGTAAAATCCGATAACCTTATAATCAAAGCACACCTTTCCATATAATTATTGCAATGTTGGTGCTATTTGAATTTTAAAGGTAGGTTAGCACGGCAGAAAAATGTCGCGGTCTCATGATCACCGACCATTTCCGACCCAGCCTGAAAAAGGTCAAAATTAGGTATACAGTTATCCAGATTAACTTTCAAGCTGGGTCGGAAATGGTCGATGATCCATGACAGAGACATTTTTCTGTCATGATTAACCTACCTGTATTTTAAGCTTGGATGTGACCTTAAGTAATTCTGTAAATTCTAAAATTCTATACCAACCATGTAATAATAACAATCTAAATTTTAAAAGCATAATCCTTCCAGGGGCAATTATAGCTGATTCCTATGCGTGCGCTAAATATCTTCTCTATGCTATTAAAGGAATCTATGAGAGTGAGGATGTATATATAGATTCTATGTAGGTTAGGTTTCTTAACTTTGAATAGAGCGATAGGTGAAACTCAACTGTAAAGGTGCACCAATTTTCACTAATCAGCATTGGTGAAACTGGTGAAATTGGTTATGCCGGTTAAACAAGTGAAACTGATAAAACCGGTAAAGCTGGTAAAATTGGTGAAACTGGTGAAATGGGTGATTTCGATGAAATTTGTGAAATTGAACTGGTGAAACTGGTGATGCCGGTGATACTGGCGATACCGATAATTATTGAATTTATATATAGTAATGAATCATTGCCATATACGTATATTGGCATTAACAGTTTCACCGACATCACGAGTATCACCAATCACCAGCATCATCAATTTCACCAGTTTCACCAATATCGCCATTTTACCAGTTTCATCAGTTTCACCGATCTGGCTATTAAGTTACACCATGGTGCACCAGTTTCAACCGGTGACACTAATTAGTTTCACCTGCAACTCTAGTTCTGAATTATTTCACCGCTACTTTAGCGTTAACCTAATTTTCCATTTATGCATTAGACCGTTGCGACTTTTAGCTGTCGCTTTTTTATTGTGTGTCACTATTTATCATATGTTCTCCAATCCATTGGCAATCCAAATTAATAAGGCGTTTGCCTTATTTAAGTTTACTGCCATACTTTTCATTTCAATATATGGCTTAATATGGTCACGAGTAAATGCCAAAGATCAATGGACTTTTAATAATACGCCATCAGACGAAGCATACGAGCCGTCTATTATAGAATACATTGGAAATTATGGCAATGCTATAATCTTGGTACTGTATAAAATATAATATCATCAATTCTCTTAC